AATCCTGCAGCACACAGTGCATAATGAGAAAAAAAAAACTTTTACCGTTTTTTTGAATAAATCAGCGACTTTGCAGTGTATTTTCGTATGGTATTTATTGTTGTATTCTAGTTTTCTTGGTCTCATTTTATAGAATGGAAGACATATTACAGAAATTGAGATGATTTTGACTGGTTTTACAATGAAAGGTGCCTTGAAATTGAGCTCAAAGTAGCAGAAATGTTCGATTTTTACCAAACTTCAAAAGTAAACAAATCGTGCCGAGCATGCAATACACGTCAACTGGTGAGTCTAATATTCTTTCACAAGTGCACCAATAATATTTATACCATTTTTTACACTAATGCAGTAGTCTGCATAACAGTAAATCTTATATTTTTTGTGAGAATAAAAATTCAAAGTGGAAAGAAAAAGAATATAAGAGGGGCCTTGAGACGTGACTAATGACTAGAGGAAATGTCATTTTAGTGCCAGGAATGTCTTTCTTGTTTATTCTGGACCCTATTCGGAAATTGGCATCTTTTGAAATTTGTGTGAAATTGGCAAAATTGCTAAATTCTGACCAATGTACAGTGGACCCCCGCATAGCGAACGCCTTGCATAGCGAACAATCCGCATAGCGGACGCTTTGTTCGCTAAAATTTTGCCCCGCATAGTGGACAAAAACCCGCTCAGCGGCCTTCGTCCGAGACGCGTCCAATGTGCGGCCTGAGCCACGCTCACATGTGCCGCCGGTGGCATTGTTTACCAGCCAGCCTCCGCGGTAACATCCAAGCATACAATCGGAACATTTCGTATTATTACAGTGTTTTTGGTGATTTTTTTCTGGAAAATAAGTGACCATGGGCCCCAAGATAGCTTCTAGTGCCAACCCTACAGCAATAAGGGTGAGAATTACTTTGGAGATGAAGAAAAAGATCATTGATAAGTATGAAAGTGGAGTGCTTGTCTCCGAGCTGGCCAGGTTGTATAATAAACCCCAATCAACCATCGCTACTATTGGTGGTACAGCTGCTGCTGCTGCTGTACCACCGTCAGCTGCTGTACCACCGTCAGCTGCTGCTGCTGCTGTAGTACCGTCTGCTGCTGCTGTAGCATCGTCTGCTGCTGCTGCTGTAGCATCGTCTGCTGGTGCTGTAACATCGTCAGTTGCTGCTGTAGCATCGTCTGCTGCTGCTGCTGTAGCATCGTCTGCTGCTGCTGCTGTAGCATCGTCTGCTGCTGCTGCTGTAGCATCGTCTGCTGCTGCTGCTGTAGCATCGTCTGCTGCTGCTGCTGCTGCTGTAGCATCGTCTGCTGCTGCTGCTGCTGCTGCTGTAGCATCGTCTGCTGCTGCTGCTGCTGCTGTACCACCGTTGTTGGTGTGGCTTATTGAGAATACCAAGAAACAATTAACCCCAGAGGATTTGCCACCCAGGATAACCCAAAAAAGTCAGTGTCATCGAAGACTGTCTAACTTATTTCCATTGGGGTCCTTAATCTTGTCTCCCAGGATGCAACCCACATCAGTCGACTAACACCCAGGTGAACAGGGAAAATGCCTGGAACTAGTGCTCATATTGGTGAATTTAGAGCCAGCAAAGGTTGGTTTGAGAGATTTAAGAATCGTAGTGACATACACAGTGTGATAAGGCCTGTTCTGGAAGAAAATACCAAACAGGACCTACAGTACTCAGGAGGAAAAGGCACTCCCAGGACACAGTGTCTCATCAGTCATTGCTGCATCTTCAATAAAGGTAAGTGTCATTTATTCTTCATTTAGTAGAGTAGTACATGCACAATATATATTGTGCATGTACTACTCTACTTTTGTGCATGTATCCTTCTCTTTGTGTGTAGGAAAATGTCTATTTCATGTGGTAAAATTTTTTTTTTCATACTTTTGGGTGTCTTGCACGGATTAATTTTATTTCCATTATTTCTTATGGGGAAAATTAATTCGCATAGCGAACATTTCGCATAACGGCCAGCCCTCTTGCACGGATTAAGTTCGCTATGCGGGGGTCCACTGTACTGGATAGTTGAATTTATAAATGGGTGGTTTCTTGCACTCATTCGATAGAAAAAATGGAGTTCTAGCGGAATATTCATGTTTTTTGTCGACTAGTACAGTGAAATTGGCCGAAAATGTGGCTCAAAGTGGGCAAAATCGCCGATGCGTAAACATCGCCGAGACCGCTAACTTTGCGAGAGCATAATTCCGTAAGTTTTCTATCAAATTTCAAACTTTTGGTGTCTTTATGATCGGGAAAAGATTCTCTATCTTTTCACAAGAGAAAATAATTTTTTTTTTTTTAAATTTGGCCGACCCTGAGAACGAGTTTCGGAGAGGGCCTGTCGACCCTCAAAGGGTTAAAGGAGGGGTTTGGGATATTGGCAGTTTGGAGGGATATGTTGTGTATCTTTATATGTATATGCTTCTAAACTGTTGTGTTCTGAGCACCTCTGCAAAAACAGTGATTATGTGTAAGTGAGGTGAAAGTGTTGAATGATGATGAAAGTATTTTCTTTTTGGGGATTTTCTTTATTTTTGGGTCACCCTGCCTAGTTGGGAGATGGCTGACTTGTTAAAAAAAAAAAAAAAAAAAAAACATACAAAGTGTGCATTAATCGACTGTTTATTATCAGTAAGGCTTCATCATCAGTAGGCTATTAGTAAAGTTTTTGAGGAGTCAAAAGTTATACCTGGATATTTGACTGCACAGGGCATTGGTGCCTCAACCCCTACATTGTTCAAGGGTCAGTTGTACAGTATTTGTGATGTTAGGTGTAATGCAAAAGTAAATTAGGTACAATAGCATGTGTGTATGTCCACATGTCAGTATTGTCTTACTTTGTACAGCCTGAAACATGAGTTCTGCTTGATTGGTTTTCTTTCTTATTTACCAAAGCCTGATATGCACACATGCAGCTATTTTCATTTTTTTCTGTCATGGGTCATCTGCATCTTGTGTTCCCATAATAACCTTACTTTAGTATTCTAGGCTAGTCATTTTACTAATTTTGTTCTAGTAACAATAAGTATAGGAGAATGTTCCCCAGTAGATACAAGCCAAACGAAAGGTTAAAAATTGTGATTGAAATTAACTACTGTACAATTAATGCCATGTTTGAACGAGCTCTTATTGAAAATAACAAGTGTGCTGGGAGCAAGCAGTGGTTTTTGTATCCTCATAGGTATTACTGTACAGATCAGATCAGAATCACCCTCTACTCCTTATTTTTAATGATTGAATGGCCTGTACAAGTTTAGCACTTCACATAATGATACAATACTCCTTGCTGCAGTTGCAAGTATGTACAATGTAAATTGCTCTATGGCAGTGATACAAGCATGTTTGAAAACATTTCTTAGCATACCATTTATTTTTTATACAATAGGATATTAAAAATCACTGTCCTTGCATTTCAACAAATTGAGTAATTGATGTATAGATATTTCATGTACGTGTTTACAAAATTAACCCTTTCAGGGTCGCCAGGCCCTCTCCCAGACTTGTTCTCAGGGTCGCCAAAATTTAAAAAAAAAAAAAAAATTTTTTTCTTATGAAAAGATAGAGAATCTTTTCCCAATCATAATGACACCAAAAGTATGAAATTTGACGGAAAACTTACGGAATTATGCTCTTGCGAAGTTGGCGGTCTCGACGATGTTTATGCATCGGCGATTTTGCCCAATTTGAGCCCTATTTTCGGCCAATTCCAGTGTACTAGTCGACAAAAATCATAACTATTTCGCTAGAACTCCATTTTTTCTACCGAATGAGTACCGATTTCAACTTTCCAATAAAGTGGTTAGAGATTGGCTATTTTGCCAATTTCACACAAATTTCAGAAGATGCCAATTTCCAAATAGGGTCCATAATAAACAAGAAAGACATTCCTGGCACTAAAAATAGCAAGTTCTCTGTTCGTTAGTCATGTCCCCAGGCCCCCCTTATATTTCTTTTGCTTTCCTCTTTGAATTTTTATTCTTGCAAAAAATAGAAGATTTACTGTTATGCAGACTACTGCATTAGTGTAGAAATGGTATAAATAACATCAGCGCTCTTGTGAAAGAATATTAGACTTGCCAACTGGCATGTATTGGATGCTTGGCACAATTTGTTTACTTTTGAACTTTGGCAAAAATCGAACATTTCTCCTACTTTGAGCTCAATTTCAAGGTACTTTTCATTGTGAAACCAGTCAGAATCATCTCAATTTCTGTAATATGTCTTAAATTCTATAAAATGAGACCAGGAAAACTAGAATACATGTACAAGCATAAATACCATATGAAAATAGTACAGTGCAAAGTCGCTGTTTTAATCCAAAAACACGGTCAAAGTTTTTTTTTTCTCATTACGCACTGTGTGCTGCAGGATTTTTTTTATACTGCGTACACTGACCACATAGACCCATTCTTTCATATGTAGGCCTACCAGCTTTCTCTCACTAGATTTGAGGGCACTAGAATTTAGGCGTACTAGTATACGTCAAAAACCCTGGTGCGTAAGCCGTACTAGTAGGTCAGAAACCCTGAAAGGGTTAAATAAAGCTGGTGAAAAACTCTAGAAGTTAACTTGTAAACGGTCCAAAAGTATATATACATTATCTATCGTAGTGCCCCAACTTTTTTGAGAAAAAAAAAAATTTTTAATAGGAAAAAAGAGCATATGGTACCCAAGCATCCCCAATTATTTTAATATGGCACACAGTGAGTGCACACACCCATTCTCTCATGTCTAGGCTACTCAGGCTTATCGTGGCAATGTTGAATGTATGACAAAAAAAACGTATGTATACGTTAGGGGCACTAGCGGTAAAAACGTATATATACGTTTGGACCGTTTACGGGTTAAATTGAATTTTATTTTGTCGATAATGCTAAGCAGTACTATATAATTAGCCATGAACAATTCATCATTGCTTTGAGTAGGAAATTAAGGAGGTATACAATAGTTTACACAGATCCTGCATGGTGCTCTACTACTAATTTAGCTTTAAACTCTTCACAGGAGGTGAATCTAACACTGCACAAATTTGATGAACTTGACTGTCTCATTCATGGCATAGAATACATAGAAGACAACAATATGGACAGAGAGTGCTACTATTTCCTTAATCCCAGAAATGAAGAGACTTGTGAAAAGGTGACATTTGATTTCAGCGATCCTTACCCTTTTTTGGTAAGTAATTATAATGAATGATGGTGAAAGTGTTTCCTCTTTTTTGGTGGGGAAGGGGGGTCACCCAACCTCAGTGGGAGATGACTGGAATGTTAAAAAAAATTATAGTAGTATACACACACTTCTGTAGTAGTAATGACCTGCTTTTTGGGATCTCGCTTTTTAATCCAGTTGGCATAAGGAATGTTTCCTGATTCTTCTGCATCCTAATTTTCTGTTTCCAATTCACAGGTGGTGAATATTGGTTCAGGAGTTAGCATTTTGGCTGCTTACGGTCCAGACAATTACAGAAGAGTCTCGGGGACCAGTTTGGGCGGTGGAACATTTCTGGGTCTTTCTTGCCTTTTAACTGGATGTAAAACCTTTGAAGAGGCCATTGAATTAGCAGCTAAAGGAAATAATGAAAATGTTGATAAATTAGTGAGAGACATATATGGTGGTGACTATGACAGATTTGGCCTCAGTGGAGATATTGTAGCCAGCAGGTAAGCTAGTCTATTTCTTTTTCATTAGCTGAAATATACACTTAAATAAATGGTAGCATATATTTATTTATTTATATAGCTATAGCATGTTGGTGCTGGCCTCTTTCACCTTAGAAACTTTCCAGGGTGGAAGTGGCCAGTGTCAGCATGCTACCTTTCCTCTTGAAATAAGTTTCCCTCAATCTACCTGTCACAGCTCCTGGTAAAGTATGGAAAAGTGGGAAAGATTTGAGCTGAAGATTTCCATTTCCCTGTGGCTTGTTTTGCATTGTTAAGACCGCCTGTATGCGATTGTATAGCATTCATGCATATGTGTTCCATATATGCACACTAATATTATCTAATTTATTTTTTAGGTGTAAGTGAATCGTCTTCTTTCTGCCAAGTATTGTACTGTGTGTGTAAATCTGTTATAGTTGGCCCTTGTTGTGTTTGCAAGTTCTGTCATGGAAGAACTGCTAGAATAACAAAATGCATCTCTGATAATATAAAAACTTGTGTATTACTTATCCAATAGATGGATACCTTTAATACTTTTGAATGATTTAGATTGTTTTCCTACTACTGCAACCCAGCTCTGAGCCAGGCTTTTCTGGTGCTTGCCTGGTCAACTAAGTTGGTGCTACTGGCATCCTGCTGCAGCACCTACATATCTTTCACAACCTAGTTGATCTGGCACTTGGCAGAAGCATTTGTCGAGATTCCTCTTGAAGACTTCTACACTTGTTCTAGCAATATCTCTTATAGCCTCTGGTAGATTGTTGAATAGTCATGGCCTACAAATGTTGACACCATGTTCTCTTGTACCCACAGCACCTCTGCTTTTCACTGGATTTATTTTACATTTTCTCTGCTATCATTTACTCCAGCCTGTTATGACTGCAGATTTAGGACCAGGCCCTCATGTACCTTCCACAAATATATTATCATGTATTTTTTTTCACTCCACTGAGTACATATTTAGGATTTTGACGTGGCAGCCATGTACAAAAGGTCATCATGTCAGGTAATATACAGTAAATATTAGTCTGTATGGTAATTCTGTATTTTTATTAGTTGGATTTTGACCGATATCTCACATTCCTTTTCCTTGAATTTTTAGAAATGCTTAATACATTTAACAAAACCCATTTTTTTTTTAATAATGATCAACATTTTATATAATCATTGATTACACAAACACCCAAAAATGTTAACAAATATAATACATACAACCTTAAGGCAATTTATAAATTTTTTTTTATCTGCACTGGCTATTTACCACCAAGGAAGGGTGATTCAAAGAAGGAACTGCTCACCTCATCATTCTTTCAATAGCTGTCTTGGCAGAAGTGAATTAACATCACAATTCAAATGACTATCTAAGCTTCAACATCCCCCATCCATCCTTCATAATGCAAGCACAGTATTGCCTACCTCTAGGACTCAAGTCCAGCTAATAAGTTTCCCAGAATTCCTTCAGGAATAAAGTTATTTGAAATACAAAATTAAAATTTAACACACCCTGCAAATTCAGTTTAACTCAAACTTTTCTTCTTCAAGTGCAATGGGATTTATTTGGAGAGGGGGTTATTGGGGACAGATATTATTTCTCAAATCACAATATTTATAGTCATTTTTACAAAAATATTAAAATTCTTCATTATCACTTTTCAAAAGTCAAAACTATTTCCTGAAAATTTACTCATAAATTTAAACTTTTTTCAATTTGTCAGTGTTGCAGTGTTTATAAATTCATTAAATGTTTAACCCTTTCAGGGTCCATACCCCTGATCTGAAACTTGTCCACAGGGTCCAAGAATTTTCAAAAAAAAATTTTTTATGAAATTGTAGAAAATATTTTTCTGATGGCAATAAAACAGAAAGTATGAAATTTGATGGAAAATTGACAAAATTATGTTATTACGAATTTTGCTGTCAGCGATATTTACGCATCTGTAATTTTACGCACTTTGTCCTATTTTAGGCCAATTACATTGTTCCAGTCAGCCAGATTCTTAGCTATTTCACTAGTATGCCTTCCATTTTATCGATTGAGCACAAAAAGGCGCCCAATCAGTTATTTCAGCTACCCAGTAAAGTGATGAGAAATTGATAATTTGGCCAATTTCACACAAATTTCAAAATATACCAATTTCAAAATAGGGTCCAGAATAAACAATGCAGATATTTCTAGCACTAAAATAACATTTCCTCTGTTCACTAGTTATGTTCCCAGGCTTTACACACAAATTCCATTTTGAATTTTTCTTTTAAAGATTTTTATTCATACAAAAAAAAAATAGAAGATTTACTGTTCTGCATTATTGTAATAATTGTATAAATAACATTAGTGCATTCGTGAACGTATATTAGACCAACCAGTGGATGTGTATTGTCCAAGTTACGTGATTTGTTTACTCTGGAGTATTAGCAAAAATCGAATATTTCTGCTACTTTGAGCTCAACTTCAAGCTATTTTCAGTCCTCAAACCATCAAATTCATCTCTATTTCTGTAGTATATCTTTCATTCTATCAAATGAGACCAAAAAATGTGAATACAGCCATAAAAACCATACAAAAATACACCGCACTGTCGCTGTTTTAATGTGCTGCAGGAATTTTTTTATGTGGTGCACACTTACCACATAGACCCGTTCTCTCATATCTAGGCCCAAATTTACCACTCACAGCTTATGAGTGAGCTGAGTTCATGGCATAGTTCTATGGCACTGACCCAAAGTTCAAAAATGTACAACTATGGCACTGACCCTTAAGGGGTTAATAACTGTTATGCATAGAGTACTGTGACTACCCTTCAAGGCTTGTAGCTGGTGAGGTACTCTTGATTCAAGGCACTAGAGCTTGCTTCCTCCATTGATCAAACCTGAGTATCTTCAAATTTGCAGGCACTGTATGACTTTTGTAAGTTTAATGCTTTCCTATGATCATAGTATATATACTGTGACCTTACTCCAGTCAGTTCATCCATCTGTGATTTAAACAGTATCAGAAACACTGTATTTATTGGATGACATGCAGTACAAATTGTCTTGGAGGGATCTCGGTTGTTTGTGATATTATATTGCCAAAACCAAAGGCTTTAAAGAAAGCAAGTTCGTTTTTAACTTTTTTTTATAGAGAAGTTCAGGAGTGCTTTTTTTCTTAATAAAGCTGCAAATTATTAATAAATTCCATTGCTCATTTTCTCTCATTTCAGCTTTGGTCACATGAACAGCGCTGAAAAAAGAGCAAAAGTTTCCCGTGAAGATCTTGCATGTGCAACATTAATTACAATCACAAACAATATTGGCTCAATAGCGCGAATGGTAGCAGCTAATGAGAAAATTGAAAAGGTATTTTAAAAGGCTATATGCACTACATTAATGTTCTTGCATTATTCACCTTAAGATGTTACATTAGTAGCCATATTTCATGGATAACATATTTTCAAGCTTTTGTTATTTTGAAAGACATTTTAGTGTCATACTTTTAATTTATAATTTTCTGTCGTTATAAAGATGATAGTTTGCAGACCTGTAGTTCAGGTACAGTATGAGTTCATTAACTGAAAAAAATGTATTTTGATAGCTTAATAATCTCCATATACAGTACCTGAGTGAATTTTCTCTTCATTCAGGGCTATTAATCTACTTTTAAGATATCGACCCAATCCAAGTTCTCTGAATATTATGTCCAAGGAATATTTTGGGTACGTTTGACTATTTATTCCCCTTTTTTGGGGGCGATGCAATAAGTATTTTATCTGAATGTTAACCAGAAATTTGGTAGTGCCAGTAGTCTTCTAGTTGTGGAAGAATCAACTAGAAACTTGGTAGATTTAATCTTTTCCCATTAAAGATGTGTGTGTGTGTTCTTCTGGCACAGTATCAGAGATCAGTCTCACTTACTTTAAGTAAAAATGTTAAATCATGATAAAATGTTTTTCATCCAAGATAACTATTAATCTATATTTGTTAATGATAGTAATTGTACTAACCAGTTTGAAATTTGGTTGGTGGTGATTAGGAGAGGACCTCTCTTAACCTCCACTCTGAACATATGCTGGTGAGGCGTTATTGTTGAATTACCATATCTTATTCAGAGTACCTTCTAAAGCTGTCTTGATGTAAAATGAATTAGGAGTTATAATAAAAAATAGTGGGTAAAAATGTTGTGGAGGGAGTAGTAGGTAAATTTGGGGTGCCAGGGGTAAGTGAAAATGGGGAGCCTTTAATTGAGCTATGTGTAGAAAGAGATTTGGTAATAAGTAATACATATTTTATGAAAAAGAGGATAAATAAATATACAAGGTATGATACTGCATGTAATGAAAGTAGTTTGTTAGATTATGTATTGGTGGATAAAAGGTTGATGCATAGGCTTCAGGATGTACACGTTTATAGAGGGGCAACTGATGTATCGGATCATTATCTAGTTGTAGCTACAGTTAGAGTAAGAGGGAGATGGGACAAGAGGAAAATGGCAACAACAAGTAAGAGGGAGGTGAAAGTGTATAAACTAAAGGAGGAGGAATTCGGGTGAGATTTTTTTTTTTTTTTTTCCTCTCCCCAACAAGTTGGCCATCTCCCACCAAGGCAGGGTGACCCAAAAAAGAAAAAAAATCCCCAGAAAGAAAATACTTTCATCATCATTCAACACTTTCACCACACTCACACATTATCACTGTTTTTGCAGAGGTGCTCAGAATACAACAGTTTAGAAGCATATATGTATAAAGATACACAACATAGCCCTCCAAACTGCCAATATCCCAAACCCCTCCTTTAAAGTGCAGGCATTGTACTTCCCATTTCCAGGACTCAAGTCTGACTATATGAAAATAACCGGGTGAGATATAAGCAACTATTGGCAGAAAGGTGAACTGGTGCAAGTATGAGTAGTGGGGGGGTTGAAGAGGGTTGGAATAGTTTTAAAAATGCAGTAGTAGAATGTGGGGCAGAAGTTTGTGGTTATAGGAGGGTGGATGTAGGAGGAAAGAGGAGTGATTGGTAGAATGATGAAGTAAAGGGTGTGATAAGAGAGAAAAAGGTAGCTTACGAGAGGTTTTTACAAAGCAGAAGTGTTATAAGAAGAGTAGTGTATATGGAGAGTAAAAGAAAGGTGAAGAGAGTGGTGAGAGAGTGCAAAAGGAGAGCAGATGATAGTGGGAGAGGCACTGTCAAGAAATTTTAATGAAAATAAGAAAAAAATTTGGAGTGAGTTAAACAAGTTAAGAAAGCCTAGGGAACAAATGGATTTGTCAATTAAAAATAGAGTAGGAGAGTTAGTAGATGGGGAGATGGAGGTATTGGGTATATGGCGAGAATTCTTTGAGGAACTTTTAAATGTCGACGAAGAAAGGGAGGCGGTAATTTTGTGCACTGGCCAGGGAGGTATACCATCTTTTAGGAAGGAAGAGGAGCAGGATGTAAGTGTGGGGGAGGTGCATGAGGCATTACATAGAATAAAAGCGGGTAAAGCAGCTGGAACTGACGGGATCATGACAGAAATGTTAAAAGCAGGGGGAGGGAATACGTATAGTGTTGGAGTGTTTGGTATTTTTGTTTAATAAATGTATGAAAGAGGGGAAGATACCTAAGGATTGGCAGAGAGCATGTATAGTCCCTTTATATAAAGGGGAGGGGACAAAAGAGATTGTAAAAATTAGTTTAGCGAGTATACCAGGAAAAGTGTATGGTAGGGTTATTATTGAATGAATTAGAGGAAAGACAGAATGTAGGATTGCGGATGAGCAAGGAGGTTTTAGAGTGGGTAGGGGATGTGTAGATCAGGTATTTACAGGTAGGGAAGTTTTCATTGCATTTTTGGATTTCTGAAAGGCATATGATAGTGGATAGGGGAGCAATGTGGCAGATGTTGCAAGTATATGGAATAGGTGGTAAGTTACTAAATGCTGTAAAGAGTTTTTATGAGGACAGTGAGGCTCAGATTAGGGTGTGTAGAAGAGAGGGAGGCAAAGAAGGGAATGTATGAAAGTATAGTGGTACCAACACTCTTATATGGGTGTGAAGCTTGGGTTGTAAATGCTGCAGCGAAGAGGCAGTTGGAGGCAGTGGAGATATCCTGTCTAAGGGCAATGTGTGGTGTAAATCTTATGCAGAAAATTTGGAGTGTGGAAATTAGGAGAAGGTGTGGAGTTAATAAAAGTATTAGTAAGAGGGCTGAAGAGGGTTTGTTGAGGTGGTTTGGTCATGTAGAGAGAATGGATCAAAGTAGAATGACATGGAGAGCGTATAAATCTGTAGGGGAAGGAAGGCAGGGTAGGGGTTGTCCTCGAAAAGGTTGAAGGGAGGGGGTAAAGGAGGTGTTGTGGACTTGAGTCCTGGAAATGGGAAGTACAGTGCCTGCACTCTAAAGGAGGGGTCTGGAATATTGGCAGTTTGGAGGGATGTATTGTGTATTTTTATTCATATATACTTCTAAACTGTTGTATTCTGGGGACCTCTGCAAAAAACAGTGATTATGTGTGAGTGAGGTGAGTGTTGAATGATGAAAGTATTTTCTTTTTGGGGATTTTTTCTTTTTGGGTCACCCTGCCTCAGTGGGAGACATCTGACTTGTTAAAAAAAAAAAATCAGTAACAATCTTTTTGTCAGTGATGATTCCTAGTTCCCTGTCTTTGATGCTTTTAATATTTTATCACACATTCTCTGTTTGTGTGGGCTCTTTTCAATTTTCTCAAATTGCCATTAAATTGTTTATCTACAATAAATTTCATCATCAATCTATAACTCCACTTGCTTAGCCTATATACGTTTTATAGGAAGTCACTTTTATTTTTACTTTACAAAACTTGATCTTTACATTTGTCAGCATGTTCATATAGTTCTTTTTTTTTTTTATATTCCAAGTGGCAAGTTATTTATATCAGTTAGAAATATTATCGGCAGGCACTGATTCCTGTAGCACACCATTGAGTCCTGGAGGTGAAAAGTAGTGCCTGCACTCTGAAGAAAGGGTGTGAATGTTGCAGTTTTGATGGTCCATTGAACTTTGATATCTGTGTACGTCTGGCAAGACGGCTATCAAGCGAATACTGGTGAATGTGTTTTCTTCTCTGGGTCAACCTGTTTTGGTGGGAGATGACCGGTGTAGTAAAAAAAAAAAAACCCTCTTGATTACTGTTTGCATTTTGCTTTCAGACATAAACTCTCTCATCCACTGTAATAGTATGCCATTTATTCCTCTTGTTTTTTAGCTTCACGTTATTTTTGAATGAGGAACTCTATTGAAAACTGTATTTTAATTTAACCCTTTGAGAGTCCATGCTGTAGTTCTACACCTTGTCCACAGGGTCCAAGAATTTTCCAAAAAAGTTATTTTTTTCTTATGAAATGGTAGAGAATCTTTTTCTGATGGTGGTAAAACAAAAAGTACAAAATTTGATGGAAAATTTACAACATTACACTGTCACGAATTTTACTGCATCAGCAATATTTACGCATCAGCTATTTTGCCCACTGTGACTCCTAGTTCAGTCCAATTACTTAATTCCAGTCGACCAAATTCTTAGCTGTTTCGCAAGTATCACTTCTATTTTATCGATTGAGCACAAAAAATTGCCCAATAAAGTGATCAGAAATTGGTAATTTGGCCAATTTCACACAAAGTTCAGAATATTCCAATTTCAAAATAGGATCCAGAATAAACACTGCACACATTCCTGGCACTAAAATACCACATTAGACCCACCAGTTGACGTGTATTGGACGTGCGACGTCATTTGTTTACTCATGAACATTGGCAAAATTTTAACATTTCTGCTATTTGAGCTCAATTTCAAGTTATTTTCAGTACTAAAATAAATCAAAATCATCTCTATTTCTGTAATATATCTTCCATTCTATCAAATGAGACCAAGGAACTGCAAATGCACTTGTAAAAAACCACGCAAAAATACAGCGCAAAGTCACAGTTTTAATCCAAAAAATACGGTCGCAGTTTTTTTTCTTGTGCACTGCCTGTTGCAGGATTTGTTTTATCTAAGTGAGCTGAGCTCATGGTGTAGAACTACGGCTTGGACCCAGACTTCAAAGCTGTAGAACTACGGGATGGACCCTCAGAGTTAATTATCAACAAGTGCAAACTGCCCATCAATTCTCTTCTAAATTATTTCTGTGGCTCAGACATCATAGCTTAATATTCAGTACTTCAGTAATTTGACAAAATCTTTTACCAGTATTTGCTTATTGGCAGTTTTTGTTAGCTAGAATTCCAAAACTCACCATCCTCTTTCAAATGGTAATTTTAAAGTCTCACCTGGTAACAGCTAAGTTGAATACCAGTATCTGAAAGGAACTTAGATAATTTTCACAGATTTTTTTATACAGTG